TAAGGGGAGGGTGTCCAAGACCAAATCTTCACTTAATATCCTTCCTCACTTTGTCCTCCAAGCTGAGGCAGTACTGCAGACTCCCGACAGCTTCATATCCTCAACTACAGAGAAGAAAGCACTAGACCAGAGGCTTCAGACCGGGTTTCACTTAAGGCTCCTAATAACCCCCACTATCCCTTCCATACTACCCTTCTCCTGAGATGCTCTCTGGCTATTTATTCCAGGCGTGTGTCGCTATGGCACTGAGAGGGAGCTGAATGGGAAGGAACGGGAAAATTTTATGATAGGGACAGCTGGGTTGAGGAAACAGTGTTCCTGGGAATTAGGCTTAAGACTCAGATTCCATGATGCCGGCTGGAGGCAATCGCAATGTCAAGAAGGATTCCTTCTGGAAGTCTCTGGTTTTCTAAGTTACCCAACATATTACAAGGCAAGGCTACATGAGGAGGATCACTTCCCAGACCTCCCAGGGGCAACTCTCTGCCCTGAATCACATGCTGCCTGGCCTTCACTCAAAATGAGTTCACGGGCGTGTGCCTGTTCTCCTGGGCAGAAAGAACATTCATCTGACACTTCTAGGTTCTCTACACAGAAGACTCTCAATAAATATGTGTTGATCTGTGCAAGCATCTCAGGGCTATTTTCCATCTTGAGAAACTAACATGCTCTTGTTCCAAGCAGCTCATTATCTAGCTATAAATAAATATTTAATCAGCGTCCAAGTAGAAAACATATTTCTTCCAATGGTCTTCCAGTTTATCATGTGGTACTTACTTTAAGCCAAGGGTATTTACACCTGTAACATCAAAAAAAGTATAAACAGCATGGCGATACTTTAATCCCGCTTCATTTTGCCAAGTTGCTAGAGCAGACACCTCGTGACACCCATAAATCAGAGTAGGAAATTTTTTTCCAATTATGCTTTAATTCATGGGCAATCATTCTCTACAGCAGGTGGCAAGTTGAGGGGGGCTAGACGTGAGGGAGCATGAAGTCAGGCTGGCGAAGTATTGAGTAATTTTAATCTGAGCTTTTACAAATGAGCACCGCAAGGGTGGCAGAGACAAAATGTGCCTGTTAACTGAAGCCAGGTGAACAGGATGCAAAACGGCAGCATCAAATGCATCTAGAACCATCTCCTCAGCCAACTGCAATGTAGTCTAACACAGATGCTGCTTCTCACTTGAATTCTCTGATTGTCTTGGTCTAATTAATTTCATCACAAGACCATCTTCCCATTTTTTTGTTTGAGGATCCTGAACATGACCTTGAGATTATTCACATAACTTCAGTGTCATTTAGGAATTGACCCATGTGACAGAAACACATTCCTTTATATAGTATACCATTTTTCACTCTTTGGAATATCCATGCCCAGAGAAATTAGCAAAAAATCCTTTCCCAAGAGGATCTATGTATCCTACTAAAATTTCCCTCTTAATCTGTTTGCTAAACATTTACTATGCACGTTACGTGAATGACACTTCAACATACAGAAATTAGCCTGGGTGGCTCAGTCAGCTAAGCATCCCACTCTTGGTTTTGGTTCAGGTCATGATCTCATGGTTTCATGAGTTCGAACCCCAGGTTGGGTTCCGAGCATGAGGCCTGCTTGGGATTCTTTCTCTCTCCCTTTCTTCCTACCCCTCCCCCACTTGCACTTTCTCTGTCTCTCAACATAAATAAACTTTAAAATATAATAAAATAAAATAAAATACAGAAATTACTACAAGTAATTTACTTGTAATTTACTACAAGTAAATTTACTACAAGTAAATTACTACAGTAATTACTACAATTACTGACCTCAAAACACTTCCAATCAAATAGGAGAGACACTCACACGAGCCAAACTCTTGTGCAAAGGCCAGCTCACGCCAACTCTCCCTGCCTCCCCCATCTCAGGAACAGACGCACCATCTGCCCAGCTATTTACATCTGAAACCTGGGCATGACCCTTGATTCCATGGCACTCCATCTCTAGGGCTACCACCCACTTCTAAGCCACTCTCACTTCTACGTGGACAAAGGAAACAGCTTTCTAAACGGTTTCTTGTTTCCGTGCTACTTTCTCCAAGTGACATACGTTCTAAGGTTAGTAGGAAGTATATCATCGGGCTGCTTTTCTTCTGAAAGCCCTGGAAGAGTTCCCTAGCCCTCTTAGAAAAGAGACAAACTCCTGCCAATGGCCTAAGAGGCCTTATATAGCTGGCCCCAGTCTATGCACCAGCCTCACCTCCGATGACTGGATTCCCTCTACTCTGAGCTCTTGCTGTTCCTCGGGTAGAAGCCATTGCACTTGTCCTCTTCCCGGAAGACTCTCCTCTCTCCCACTTTCTGTCATTCCAGAGTCTTGGATTCAATGTCACCTCCTCAGGAAGCCCTCCCTGATCACTCCACTGCTCAGGACATTTCATTCCCACTTTCTGCACCCATTTGTAAATCCCCTGTGCCAGCCTCTCTCCTCTAGCGAGCTGTAAACTGACCCTGTCAGGGTTGTGGGCAGCTGTGCCCCTGGGTAGAACTATGCCCCCCACAGGAGGCAGGCAGAAAAGGCTTGTTGTTTGATGAATGTCCATTACAAAGAGGACCAGAATGAGGATGACAGAATGTACAGTGAAGGAGGAGCACTTCCTTTCGACTGGGAGAGGAAAGATGCGAATAGCTTCCAGAGGTGAGACCGCATGCACTGTGTTTTAGAGGACAAGTAGGCACATCCCAAAACGCCTGCCAGAGCTCTGAAACTAGCAAAAGACAAGCCCAAAAGGCACGGCTAGTCCAGGCAGGTCTGAGCAACAGAAGGGTCCCTGAAATGGCTAAAACCCAGAACACACACAGGGATGTGCTACGAGGACGGCACTCACGGTGGAGAGCCTGAGTGACATGGTAAGGGGTTAGCATTCTATTGTTTGGGACCACAGAAAGTCACCGAAAAGTTTGGAGGGTGAAAAATTAGTACACTCTAACCTGTATTTTATAAACATTGAGAAAGATCTTTGTAATGTAAAAACCAGCAAACAACCTAAACTGGCATCACTTTTAAGAGGACTACATATTCACCTCTGCTTGGAGGAGAAAAAAAGAAGTCCTTGGATACCATGTGGCAATGCAAGGGAGAGGGGGGCTCACAGCTGGTGACCCTGTGTCTCCAAGAGGATGAGCTGACTGCACATCAGTCTGGGGCTTTTCAAAGGCACCGAACAGCCACATAAGATTTCCAAATGGGTTCAAAGTAAAAGGCCCCAGCATCATGGATAAAGAAGCTGGTAACTGGATTCCAGGACTAGAGCTGGGTCCTGGACTGGGAGATGATTACGAGCAAGCACGGTACGCATTCCAGAACAGTTTAGTCAAACAATACTGAACAGATGGGCTCACAATACTTAAACTGAAATTAACCCTAAAGACTGGCATATTATATTAAACAAAGTGAGTATATGAATGACTCCATCCCAGCCACTACAAAAGGCAGTTGCTAACGCTACTGCAAGGGACTGAAGACCTCTAACAGAACATGCCTTCCAAAGCAGCGATAACCCAGGCGCTCTGAGGGCTTTATCGATACAGATTATTTCAAGACGGATTTATTTGATGAGCACAACTCTCCTCAACAGCTATGTAATAAGATGGGAGAGCTGACCTGTAAAATGGGTAAAGACAAAGGCTGACAAAGTTAACTGTGGCTTGTACTTGCAGAAGTTCTGGAGAGTGGGAGAGGCCCAGGAGCCTGCAGCTATGATGTTGCACTGGGTGGTTGTTTTTTGTTTTGTTTTTTCCTTTGGGTTTTCTGTTTGTTTGTTTGTTTGTTTGTTTGTTTGCCTGTTTTGGCTCCAGCCAGGTGTGAAATCAAATCTGGTCTTCAGCTTGCCTATAAAATGAGGAATCCCGGAAAAAAGATCAAAGGTCCCTCCCAGATTTAAACTCCCATGGCAATGAAGAAATCCCTTGTAGGCATAACCTGCTTTTCACAAACCAGTGAAGGGACTTGCGCCAGAAGAGGGATGCCTCCAGACTCAGTATCTGTGAGCACTGCCCGGGTGGGGTGGGGGCTCTAGCAGGGCACCGGCCCCAGGTCTGAAAAGGCCCCCAGCTGGAGATAAGCAGGGAATCACACGGTCACTGCATGGGCTGAGACCTTACGTGGGCCAGCAAATGGCTATAAATTCTCCATATGTCAAGCGGGGACAGTCACCCAGAGAATTAAGACAACGGGTATGAGATGCCGAACGCAGTGCCTGGCACGGAATGCAGCCACTCCTCGGTGCAGCGCAGTTCTAAAAGACGTCGTCGTCAGTTTTACATCACTTTTTCAGTTGTTAGGTTTACCTCTGCTGATTCATAGGAAATTCCCTCTGTAGGAAAGATAAAACTGTGGGACCTCATAAAACAGGAAAGGACCCCAAAGTCCTTTTGTGCAGTTCCCTGTCCTTAGGCATTTTCATTGTCACCACCACATCACTACTGAAACTGTGAAGGACCTGAGCAACCCAGCCACAAAGTTCTTTGTGTCCCCAGGGGTCCCCCCCAAGGCTTGGATGTACTGAACACAATCTCCTACACTCCTGGATGCCCTCAGAATCAAAATTGTCTGTTATTACAATAAATTTATAAAATGAGATGAAAGTGCCTAAACCAAGGGGATCACGCACTACATAATCAAAGAGCCAATTCTAAAATAATAGACAATTACGAAAATGATAACGAAGGCTGTAACAACCCTCACTAATGCTTCTTACGCTGTTAAGCAAAAAAAAAAAAAAAAAAAAAAAAAAAAAAATCGGAACACACAATCTCATTTATGTTGTGATTACAATGAAGTAAAATTATGTACAGACAGAGCAAGGGCTGAAAAGCGACTTGGGAAATGACTATGGCTGATTTGCTAAGGAGGAGCAATGGCAGAAATTTTATTTTTATCTAGTGACTTTAATGGGGTTGACACAATAAACACCACAAAAGTGACAGTCACAGGGAAGGAGACGCTGCTGTTCACTCACCCTGGGTTATACAACATGACCGTGGACAGGTTCTCACAGGACTTCGAGAGGTCAGTCATGGACAAGCTGAAGGAGGACAGAAGGCCACTCTAAGAGCAGACACAGGGCAGAGCGGTTACCTTAGTGGGGGAGAGAGGGCCAGAGCCCTGGACTCACTGCTCTCACCTTGTGAGAGGCAATGAGGTACATATACCCCTCATTAGCACGCACGCCAACTGGTCTACCTGAGGGCGGCAAATCAGGGACAGCCAAGCAACAAATACAACTCCAACCCAAGCCTCAGCTAACCACAGCGGGGCCCCAGCATGCCCGGACAGGGGAAGCTAGCCAGGAAGTGCACAACCATGAGGATCTCCTCGACCACGCTGCACTGAAGTGGAGGGAAGGGTCACCCTCCATTCCTGGCGGGAGCTGTGTCCTGTTCTCAGCAGCACTCACATGTGTTGAGGAATAAAGATGAGGAGGGAGAGGGGAAGGGAGACCAAAAAGTAAGAGCTTAACCTGTTTGCTTCCATGGAAAGCTACTGGCAAATATATTTTCCTCCCTCTCTTCCTCTGCAACTGTGAACCAATAAGGACCCTCCAGGGAGACCGTGGGCCAGAATAGATAAGAGGCTTCACTGGCTGGAATGAGCAACCGTGGAGAAGGCTGGGGTTTGCAGCTTTCTTGTTCTTTCCCATGGAAGGCACTGGCACCCTTGGGTAGCCCTCACAATAGGAGGTTGACATGCAGGGCTCTGTGACTTCGGGGTGAAGGGCAGACCCTTTAGGTCAGTGGGTCAGGGCAGCAGTGCAGGCTGGCCATGTGCTAGTTAGGGAACAAGTAAGCCTCAGTTTCTCATCTTGATCATCTGTGACATGGGGTTAGTAAGAGCTGCTACACAGATAAAGCAGTAAAATATGCTGTAGAAGTTTCATACAGTGCCTGGCTCATAGAAATGTTAGCTGTAGCCTTTACCTTCCTCAGTCTAAGGACATGCGGTGTCCCAAGACACATTCCCTCTCATCTCTTCCCTTCTCTCTCAGGTCTTCTACCCACCTCACCCGTCCTGCACTTAGAGTGCCCTCTGGATGACCCTATCCAGCTAGCTGTCCCAAACTCACCCCCTCTCTGCTTCACACCCTAACCAGAAGTCTCATTTGCTATGGCTGAAAGTAAAAAGGAAGCAAGCCTTTGGATGAAACTGATTCTGATATTGGGTTAACTCCTAAAACAGATCCTCATAAGTGGAAGTCACTTCCCCACTTAATGCAAAACAATGCCCAACTCCTTTTGGGGGGTAGAGGGGTGAAGAGAAGGATCTAGAAGGAGCCATTTCTCCCCCTGCTCTGCACTTGACCAGTTTGCTTTCCTACTTCATCAGCTAATCATCCACTGAGAAACAACTCCATACAGTTAGTACAGGCTACAGCGTGACTTTTCTAGTTCCGTACTCCGGAAAATCAAACTGCTCCCACAGCCCCAGCCCCACCAGAATCAGAATTGGCTCCTGGAGATGTTATGCTGCTCACCTTCCTCTTCTCCCTGAGCTTGGCAGCCTCCTTAGGATGGTTAAAGCGAAACATATTGGTTCTTCCCAAGAGTATCACAGCACCTAAGAACATACAAAAACAGCAATGAGTTCACGGTAAGCAACCGGTTGGTTGACAACATCATGTTGTGGAATTTTACAGCTGAAATGTAATTTCCAGTGCACTATAAAATGGTAATAATAAGGGAAAGACTTAGTCTCAAAAGTCTGCTTATATAAGCCAATTTTAAACCTGCAAATATTCTTATTTTTATAGCTGAGTGTCACAATACTCATGTTACTAAGGCAGAAGTGATGGATTCAAGCATTATATTACGAGATTTAAAACTTAATATCCAGATAATTATAGTTTTGATTGTTAGGAAGAAAAAAAAAAGCAGTAAGTTCTACAAAGAGATGCTGTAATACCAACCAAAGCGTATGGTCACAAATTTGGGAAATGTTTATTAATGCCAGTAAAAGGAGAAATCCCGAAGGAAAGCGCTTTCAAAAGAAAACATGGTATAATCGGCAGAGTACAGGTAACCACTACTAACGTCTACCTCAGAATTTGACAGGAAAGAAATTGTGTACGTGTAGGATCTATTACCATGTGAAAACACTGCTTCTTGTTAAAACTGTTAAAATTTGGGTGGCCACATGAGACACACGAGAAAGGCTCCACTTGATGGACCAGGGTTCTGCTTATTCAAAAAATGATCACACAGAATTCAAGCCAAGTACCCAAGGGTAACAAAAATGTTAACTAAGGGCAGGGACAAATTTTAGCATTTTTAAGCAAATAAGCAAACAAACACTTTCCAAATTCAGAACTGCTCAAAGCTGGCATGGGTGCCACAGATGGCAGTGAGCTCCTTGTCATCAGAGGCATCTAAGGGAAGCAATGTTCCAGAAGAGATTCACTAGGTCGTCTGGTCCCATCCATACCCGAGAGTCTATCACACCTCAGAAGAGACCCCCATGTTCAATCCTTGCCCTGAAAAAGAATGCAACTTCTTTGTGAGGACAGAACACATCCACTGAAGTCAACCACGGAAGACGACGACATGTGATGAGGGGTCAAGCATCTAAGTGATGTGTGCAAGGCTGCTGTAGGTGGGGACAGACCTCAGCTGGGTCTCGCAAGGCAGCTCGAGGACAAGAGAGGTGGTTCCAGTTTGGGGAAACCGCAGGGAAGGGCTAAGCCTGACCAGGGAAATGGACCTGTCCTGCTGCGGGGAGAGGAGGGAGTCAAATCCACCCAAAATGTGGGGCATCAGAAACAGCACCAGGATAGAACAGACACTGTGAGGACTTGGAGAGCCAAGGGAGAGAAGTTGCATCAAATGTCACAAACTGATGGGCTGAGAGAAATCAGCTCAGAGATGTTTTGTGTGCCCCGCGAAAACTTAAAAACTAAAATTATTAGCTTCCAGTTAAAAATCTGCAGTTTTTACATAAAGTACTGAGTTTCTTTCTGATTTCCCTTCAAAAACTAGAAGGTAATGTATCAGTAGATTTGTATTGCCACTTGACAAAAATCCCTGGGCTGCTGAAGGCTGCCTCCTTTGGACGGGGCACGTGACCTGTGGGGTAACAGCAGTCACCACCAACCTCTTCACTTGGCTACTATTTCCCTACCTGGGCCTCAAAAGTAATATCGTAGCCCCAGATGGCTATTCTAGAGCTTCAGACCAGTATATCCACCTGCCTGCTCAACATACTGCCTCAGATTCTCAAATTCAATATGGTTAAAACCTAACGGATTAGGTCATAACCCCAGGGAGCTACTGAAAGGGCTGGTTCTGGCAGTTATCATTATTTAGCGGAGAGGGAGTCCGTATGAAAAGAAGAACACAGTTTTCAGAGACTTAAAAGTATAGCAGTGGATAGTAACCAATCTACAACCTGCTTATCCCCCTCATGGAAAATTATATTCGTATATTTTCCAATCATGAAAAGGCACCATTACCATAATTAAGAAAGGTGTTTTCTATACCTTTCATGACCAGGACTCAGAACTGTGTGCCATACAGAGAAGTCAAAAGTTAAGCAGCCATGTCGAGGATATAGGTATATTTAATGCTCTGGAAGTGAAATTAGAGATTAATAAGGCAATCACATTCAATGTGCTAATTACATTTAATCCAATTCTTTTTTTTTAATTTTTTTTTCTGTTAATCAAATGCCCAGCCATGCAGGTTGAAAAGTGCTAAAATATGTTAATGGAAAAATAGAAATGGTATTTCAGAGACATACTTCATATCATATTAAATCATTGAAAATAATCTTGCCACCCATGTATTTGCATGAAATACACATAAAAATCCCTTTAAGAGTTATAAAAGAAAACAAAATTATCCATGACCATTCCTTGTTTCTACCTAAATAATGTGCATAAACTGCCTGGCACATAGAAAGAGGCTTGTTAGGGGCCCCTGGGTAGCTCAGTCGGTTAAGCGTACAACTCCTGATTTTGGTCCAGGTCATGATCTCATGGTTGATGAGTTTGAGCCCCAAATCAACCCATTTGCGATTCTCTCTCTCCCTCCCTCTCTACCCCTCCTGCGTGTGTACTCTCTCTCTCTCTCAAAATAAATAATTAAACATTAAAAAAAAAAAAAAAAAAGAGGCTCTGTTAAGGCTGGTTTCTTTCCATTTCATTTTATTCCTTTACTCAACAAACCTACTAACTTAAAAAATTGGCTTTGTTTTTACATTATGCTGCTGTTCATGCATTCATTCATTCATTCAACAAGTACTTAATGAACCCTGACTGCATGCTAGTCACTGTGATAAGCACTGCAGATACAAAGTTGAACAAGTCAGACATATGCCCTGCCCTCATGGAATTTATAAGTAAGAGAGAGAGGTGAATAATCAAATAAGTCCACAATTAGATGCAAAGCTACACCTAAAGGAGAGATACCCTGCCCAGTACTCAAAGAGCACATAAGAAGAGGGTTGATTTAGGGGCGCCTGGGTGGCGCAGTCGGTTAAGCGTCCGACTTCAGCCAGGTCACGATCTCGCGGTCCGTGAGTTCGAGCCCCGCATCGGGCTCTGGGCTGATGGCTCAGAGCCTGGAGCCTGTTTCCGAATCTGTGTCTCCCTCTCTCTCTGCCCCTCCCCCGTTCATGCTCTGTCTCTCTCTGTCCCAAAAATAAATAAAAAACGTTGAAAATAAATTAAAAAAAAAAAAAAGAAGAAGAGGGTTGATTTAGAGGAAGTTAGGGAAAGAAGAAGTGGGAAGCGGTGCCTAAGACAAGCTCTGAGGATGAAGCACGGAGAGTGAGGGAGTGGCATGTGTAAAGGTCCCATGGCAGGAAAAACTGATGGTGGTGGTGGTGATGATGCTGAGTGACTGGAAGACAGTTAAATGCCTACGGCACAGGAAAGGGAGAACAGTGCACGCAATGAAGCTTGAGAGAGGGAAAGGAAGAGACCACATAGAATCTTTCAAGATACAGTAAAGCAACTTTTACTTCATGAGGGTGCATAAGAAGATGGTGAAAGGCTTTGTGCAGCATCACATGATTGGATGAGAGTTTCAGAAAGTTCATTCTTTCACCTGCTTGAAGAAGGAAGCAAAGAGGGCAAGGGTAGATGCAGATAAATAAGGTCGGAGGCTATTGCAAGAGTCCAGGTCAAAGACAATGGTGGTTCAGCACTGGGGGGAAGGGGAGAGGAGAGAAGGAGAATAAACAAATCAGGAAGATATGTAGAAGATAAGGTCAATAGGACCCCATGATGGGCTGCATATAGGGACAAGGGAGGTAAAGAAGATGTTCCTGGGTACTGGCAGGCAACAGCTGGTTGGACGGGGAGCTGTTCACACAGACTGAGAATACTGAAAAAGGACCAATATTGGGTTGGGAGAGAAAGCCTGAGTTTGGTTTTATACATAATGAATTTGAGATGGCTTTGGCAGGCAGAAATATGGGTCTGAAGCTCTAGAAGAAAAACTTGGGACATCTATCCATCAGTGTATCTACCAACCTACCTACCAACCTACTTACTCATGAATATATATAAATGTATATGTATGTATGTGTGTGTGTATATATGTATGTATGTATATATGTATGTATGTGTGTATACACACACACACACACACACTCAGACATACACATGCACGTACGTATATGTACATATCTACCTAACATCTGTGTGTGTTAAGACCCAGAGCATCTGCCCTGCCCCAAACTCTTGTGTGGCCAAGGGTGAGTTAAGCTCACCCTTTCCAGAATTCAGTTTCCTTATCTAGTCATCAAACTGGATACTTTCTAAGGTTCCTTCCAGATCTTAAATTCTTTAACCATGAACTACTCCTTGATTGGAGGTTAACATGATTAGTCACAGCAGATGGACTTTTCTGATGCGTTTAGTTTGTAATTTTTAGAGCATATCTAAGCCTCCTTAAAATGCATGATGGCTTCTTTGAGTTTACTTCAGAGCCTGTTAAATACCAGAAGGTAGACAAGTTCCAGATGGTCTTAAAAGGAAATGGAAGGGAAATGACATTGTAAAAGGGTACACAGAGGCACTTGTTAACAACAACCAAAAAAAAGATAGAAAGAAAGAAAAAAAAAGTGCTTTGCTTAAATCTCTATGAATGAAACCACTGAATGCTGATTTCACAGAAGATTTTCTGTTTTAGTATTTCAGGTACACTGAAAGTGAAATTAAACATGTAAACATTTCTATGGATTTCTAAGCAGTATAGTGACAATAATCGTTAATATCACTATTAATTACCCTCAAATTTTATGTGAGATTTTCTAATTCTGCTACGGCACAAATAAATCAACTCTTTTATCCTATTAAATGTTGTCATATGAATATTTCTGAGGTGATGATGTACAAATTAATTAATTCTGGGTTATAATTAATACAAACATGTAGGAAAACTATACTTCCCAAAAATGGATGGTCCAATGTAACAGGAGTTTAGAGGCCAAAAAATAAGGGGCCTGGTGAAATTTTGCTTCAGTCTCCAAATTCTGAATTTGATTACTTTAGAAAGCCTCGCCCCACCCCACCAAGCACACAGACAGGATATAACAGACGGCTCTGTGAAAGAGAA